TCTTTTCTCTTTACTTTTTATACAATTTTTCGTAAAAAATTAAAAAGTCATTCAAAATATATTAGTTTTTTTATCTCATATTTTAACAAAAAATTCAAAAAATAACTTATTTTTAAACGAGGCCTAAATTGGGAAATGAAAAAAAAGAGAGTATATTTACCATATTTTTTGATTTTTATAAAAATACATAAAAAAAATAATATAAAAAAAGGAGAGAATTTTTAATTTTTATATAATTATTTGACTTTTAAAGTTTTTCTTACTTTTCTGACTATTATAAGAAGTTCCCAAACCAAATCTAAAAGACAAATTTTAAAATGAATTTAAAAACAATTAGATTGAGAATAGTTCTTCAAAAGAATGTAAAGATAATGAACTTGGATATTAGGATTTGAATAATTTTCAGTTTTTGTCATAAATGAAGGTTTATTTCAATAAATTACGAAATCAAAATGACAAGTTGTAATTTTGCCCTGTTATAAAATTGTGTTTTAGAACTATGATTTTTAAACTCATCTTTAAATAAAAGTACATTTGGCAACCACATTATCACACATTCAGTTTAGTTTTCATAATTTATCTTTTAATTTTTTTAAAAAATATTAAAAATTAATTTAGTGAACAAAAATAATAAATAAAAAACACTCGTCATATGATTTTGGTTTTCTTTAGTTTGAACATAATTTAAAAAAAAAATTAAAAGTGTTTATTTTTTGTCAATTTAATATATTTTTTATAACAAAGTTTTAAAAATTTGTTTCTAAAATTGAAACCAAATAAAGCCTTAAATGGCATAGAAAAATTGTAATAATATTTATGTTTCTTGTATTGAATTTTTTTTTTTTTTTTTCAAATGAACCTTACTACCTTAAAATGAAGAGGACCCAAATGAGTAGTGTGGATAACACTCCCCATTACCAAATTTTCAATATTTTCTACACCATCACATAATAAATATTCTTAAAGTATCACGTGATATTATTTATGTGATACTTTTATCAAATAAAAAATTAAAATATTTCAATAAGTAATTGTATGAGAGGGTTCAAGAACGTCATTGGAAAATTCGAAGATCTTCGAAGATCCTTGAAGAAAAATTCGAATTCTCTAGAAGATGATGAGAGGCTTAGATTCTTCAATAATCTCAACTAAGAACACATAAGCAAAGAGATGATGGAGATAAGAGATTGGGTGAAGAAGAAAGCAAAATAGTTAGAGAGAGAATAATGGCAAAGCTTTCTCATGGATCTCCCACTTTTACTCTCAAGGTTGATAATGAAGAAGGGAAATTAGTTCTTTCCCAAGAGTTATCTCTCCAAAATTCATCCCTTGTAAAGCTATGGTTGGGTGCTATTTTTAAGCACCTCATGATGTAGGATGGAGCCCATGTGCAAGACACATGAGAAATATTCTCTCTAACAACCTTGTCCGAGGAGGTGATCTCTTCGAGGATGAGGAAAACCCCAAAGAGGAGATCAACCTCTTGGCGAACTCTTCTCCTTAGCCATACCTAACCAATGATCCCCAATCATTCCAAAGGGTCAGGGATAGTCCCAAAGGACGTCCTACCGCAGAAGGGTCAGGGGTAGTTCAAGAGAATGCCCTGTCGCTAATATTGTTGAGTCACAGGAACCCCCTAGATCGTGCCATCTCGACCCGGGTATAGGCTAGTTTAACCGAAGAGTGAATTTATCTTCACTCTCCGTCCTCGGGATCGGGTCCTTTGTTCGGACTCCATTACGCCCATGGTTCTGGTCTGTAGATCCCAGAAAGCTCCGAGTTTGCAAGTGTTCTGGGACTTATTAATAGAGCAGCTTCTAAATTGCGTCTAAATCCATTCGAAACCAAGTGCTTCGAATCTCTAGCTTCGTGGATCCGAACCCTTTCAAGTCCGAGCCCGAGTAAGTCTCTAAGTTTGTGGATCCGAACCCTTTCGAGACTTAGAGCGACTCGGCTCGTTTGATGGCGATAAATTTGGGCCCACCAACCTTGGACTTATGATAAATTCGAGCCCACCAAACTTAGACTATTGGGTCTAATTAATTTAATGAGCTCAAATTAACTCCTTTTACAGTAATTAATTATTTATTTGTCAACTACCTAACAAAAGGTGAATTACCATTTTTCACATATAAAAAACAATTAACTATATGAGTGGTTAAGAGCACTAAGCTTTGAATTATTAAATAACTGTAAAATTATTAGATATTCACAGAGTACTATAAGAAATTTTATTATTAGCCAATAACAAATCTCAATATACATTAAGTTAGCTATCATTTGTCTCTTAATTATGTAACAAAAGTGTGACATTACTTGTATATTTTAGAAAAATTATTTTTACAACATAATTGATATAAAATACTACATAAATAACGTCATGTAATATTATGAAACTATTAAATAATTGTCCTCAATAATTACCCCAATTATAATGGCCAAAAAGTTACCAAAAGGACTTTCCGTTTTCCCGTGGAAAAGGCTAAGTGAGAGTGCATTGTCACGATCATGCTCCAATCTGCATCTTCACTTACAAAAGAGAGAAGAGAAAGATCAATCAGCTAACAAGTACTGTTACATCACTTTTGTTCTCTCACAGTGCAATTTTCACATTTATAATTACAAGAGTTAGCCTTCGTTTGGGATATGAGTTGATTTTTTGACTTTTTAACTATTTTAATTTGGGGCTAAACAATCTCATTTGGGATAGGTTTTTAAACTTTTGTGAGAGAAAAAATAAATTGATTATAATTTGGATGTGACATTTTGTTTTATTAAGTTAAAAAATTTATTTTATCTTTTTGTGACTAAAATAACCCTTAACTTAACCCAAACCTTCATGCCAAACATAACCTTAATTATATTACTATTTTCTCAATTATTAGTATTTTACTTTTCTAATATATGAATTCGTATATCTTGACCCCTTTAATTATATAAATATATCATTTTTATCTCTCCAAATCATTTTTAAGTAAGATATGGTTGTACGATTTTCATAATTCAGCGATTCAAAATATACAAATTTATAAAAAACATATATAATCATTAATAATTAAAAGATCTTGATGTAATTAACTCTAATTAATTATAATAGACCCCAGTTTCCTCTTCAATCTTCCACCATACTGATGATGAGTGAGTGGTGGTGAATGGTGATGAGAGATGAGTTGGTGAATCCCCCACGTGACTTGCACGCCATGTTTTGATGGCTGCTTATGGTATGTATAGGTCTAAAATGTGCAACTATGTTTGCTATTTCATTATTTATAGGTTAAAACACAACACCATTCCCAACAACACGAAATTTGAAAAATGTTTGAAGTGTATAATTTATCATTTTTAAAAATCATTCTTAATGATATATTTGATAAGTATTAAATTTTAATTTGTAATTATTTTATTAAGTGAAGTCTAATTTTAATGTTACATCGGTAAAAGTGATTTAAAAATGATAAATTAGATATGACACTTTTGAAGATGTATATCACATTTTTTTCACTAATAATAAAGACAAAAGTTGGGTAATAAAAAGTTTGAAAGTTATATGTGAACTGTATGTATACCAGTTATTATGCATTAAGTAGGTCGGTCCTCGAGTTATTTGGACTTGTAAGTGAACTCTTGCTACAGTATTAACTGTTACACATAATCATAAGTAAAAAAATAATTGTGTAAAATGATAAGTGTTTATATTTTATTTTATTTGTTAATATTCATACAAATTATATAGGGTAAATTATATATATAGTCTCTATAATTTATAAGATGTGTTAATTTAGTTCTTATTGTTTTAATTTGTTCGATTTTGCTCTTTAATTTAACAGATTGTGTCATTTTAATCCAATAAATAACGGTTATTAAATTTGGTGGTCGGAAAGTCAAACTATGTGTCAATTTGGTCCATGTAATTTACACCAAATTGACACAATGTGTAGACTTTCTGTCTACCAAACTTGACCACTGTTATTTATTAGACTAAAATGACACAATCTGTTGAATTAAAAGGCAAAATCGAACAAATTGAAACAACAGATACCAAATTGACATATTGTGTAAATTACAAGGACCATTTACGTAATTTATCCAATTGTATATGCATACATAATTTATAAAGACTTTTTAATTTAAATTGCAAAAAGTTTAGTCGCACATGCGATCAAATATAGAACCAAACATAGAAACTGTGCATTCGGTTATTTAGCTAGACGATCGGCCGAAACTTGTCGATCGCAGCTGTCATTGTATCGGTCGCGACTGTCATGGTATCATCGAGAAAAGAAAGAAAAAATGAATTGTTTCATTTATATAAAGTGAATCTTATACTTCCATTTAGGCTTCATTTGACAAGTGACTTTTTTAACAAAAAAATTACTAAAAAAATCAACAAGCCAACAACCTATATCAAAAAATCAAAAATTCTATTTTCTCTTTATTTTTTACATATCTTTTTGTAAAATATTAAAAAATCATAACAAATATATTAATTTTTTTTACTTCATATTTTAATCAAAAAATTAAAAAATTATTAAAAAAAACTTATTCCAAACGAGGCCTTCATTTTTTGTGTGTATAGCATTATTGTAAATTTAAAATGACGATGAAAAGATATATTATATATATTACTTTATTTTTTTTAGTTATGATTATTATTTTTATTTAATTATAATAATATTTTAATTGTAATTTATGAAAAATTTAATTATGTTCTACATAATATTTTTATTTATATTATAACTTAAAAAATATAAAATTATGTTATTTTTTTCCTAATTATAAATTCGATATAGTGCACATCTGTGCACCATAATCTTTCCCCATTTAGTACTAGAAAAAACAGAAGAAGAGAGAGAGAGTGATGCCCCATTTTGTAGACCAGCATGTGTGTTCACACTTTATCTATCTTGTCTCTCTCTGCTTCATTTTTAAGAGCTGAAACAGAGTAAGAAACAGAGTTCAGAGCATAAGATATATGCACTGCACACACATATAGAGGACAGAGTGAGAGTGAGAGTGAGAGTTGGGTAGAAATGGGCATTTTGTCTGAGGATATGATCTTGATAAAAAAGGCTGAGAAGCCAGGAGATCACACTGTGATTACTGTGAATTGCCCTGACAAGACTGGGCTGGGTTGTGATTTGTGTAGGATCATATTGCTGTTTGGCTTGAGCATTGCCAGAGGAGGTATGGATAATGATTTTTGTTGCTGTTTATTTTTAATTTATTTTTGTTGTTTTCTTTTGAAGTTTTAGGTTAATGGTTTTGAGATTTGTAGGAAAACATAATATATGTGATGGGTTGTTTTCAGATTTCGGATTTCTTTGATGTTGGTCTTAGTTTTCTTAAGTTGGATCTGAGATTCTTAGAGAAAAATTTGATGAATTAGTGTAATTTTTTGTTATTTTTCTTTTTATTTATTGTATTTTTGTCAAATTGGTTGGTGGGTTTTGAGATTCATTGCAAATTTAGAAGATGGGGGTAAATGTAAATTCTTTTCCACTTTGTTCTGTTTTGGTGAGATCAGTGGCAACACAAAACATGGGACATTGCAATTACTCTCTCTCTCTCTCTCTCTCTCTCTCTAAGTTTGTGAAATTTTATTCCCCTTTTTATTCTTCTAGGTGGGATTTAAAGTTCAAAGAAAATGATAAGATGGGACATTCTGATTCTTCATTCTTATCTAATTTTTCTTTATTTGGTTGTACTGTCACTTGAGATTCTTAGTAGAAACTAGGGTTTGAAATATACCTACCGGGATTTTAGAATTATAATACCACAATATCTGTGGATACTATTTTATACATGACTGTGTGGCACGTTTTCTGTAATTTGAAACCATGGTAGAAAAATAGAAACCCAAGGTGTGGAGATTCTTATTATTTTCCTTTTTTCTTCATTTTCTTTTCATTTTTGAAGATGTTTCGACGGATGGTAAATGGTGTTACTTAGTTTTCTGGGTGATTGGGAGGCCAACGACAAGGTGGGATTTGTTGAAGAAGAGGCTATTGGAGGTGTGTCCCATGTGTTCACCGGCTGTCTCGGAAATTTACTATTACAGACCTGAATTTCAGCAGCCCAAGCCACCAGATGTGTTCTTATTGAAGTTCTGGTGTTACTATGTTCGCAAGGGCCTCTTACATGGTACCCATTTTTTTTAAAACTTGTTGAATTTAGAATTAGTTTTTAATCTGTATATTGGCTAGAGACTCTTGCACTGGGCTTTTTTTTTTTTTTTTTTTTTTTTTTTTTTTTTTTTTAAAAATAGGAAATTTGTTGCTTACTTACTTTGACTTGAAGATTGTTTATGTGCACATATTTTAGATTGTATTTTGTTTATATTTGTTGGAAGTGATATGCTTTCTTCTTGCTTAAGTCTTTGATATATCCCACCTCTACGTACTAATTTTTTGACTGGGGCATGTTGAAAGTGGAAAGAGACTTTCATATTAGGTCACATCGAGAAAGTTAGGTTGTATAGAATTGCTTCCAAAGAAATGTGTAGAGTTCACTCGTTTAAGATATTAAAATTTCTAGATATTGTTATTTTCAATTGTATTTTTTTATGTTTATTGAAAAGGGATATGCTTTCTTCTTTCTTAAGTCTTTGATAAAATCCCACCTCTACATACTAGTCTTGTGACCAAGACATGTTGAAACTTGAAAGTGAAAAGGGACTTCATATAGGTCACATCGAGAAAGTAGGGTTGCATAGAATTGCTTCCAAAGAAATGTGTAGAGTTCACCCTTTTCAGATATTAAAATTTCTAGATAATGTTATATATACTTTAGGATATACATTTTTGTTTAATTTCATCTCCATCTTCCTTCTTTGTTTTATATTTTAAAAAAAAAATAACATTTTTGTAGATGTAACCAAGGTTCTGTGTGAGCTAGAGCTTACAATAAAGAGAGTTAAGGTATCCACAGCCCCAGATGGGAGAGTGATGGATCTCTTCTTTGTCACGGACACCAGGTTTGTTATTATCGATATTTTATGGTATAGTATTTTCAGTTTTTTTGCTAATCATTTTCCCATTTGTCTCTTTATATTGTTGGTTTGATTCTTATGGTTCCCGTGGATGGGGAGAAAAAGAGAGAGTCACAATCTCTTAATTATTTTAAGTTCTAAAGTCTGATATTTTCATAGCAAGTTCCAAAGTCTCTATCCTTTCCTAGTATTCTCAGCAACCTTAAAGTTCACTAAAGTTCTTGAAAAAAGGAGAATAAATGTCTAAATATAGCACCACCACCACAAATAACATTAAATTCCTCTCGATGCAAATTTGAGTGTTTGCATTAATATTAAGGAAAATGATGATTAGAGTCTACTTGTGACAATGTAGAGAGGACAATTTTAACCCAGAATCATATATGCCCAGATGATTCAGGCTGTTTAATTCCATCTGCCTCTACAAGGTGCAACAGAAATTGTTCGTATATGATTATGCCATTGGTGGGTCTGATATGATTCTGTGATAAAGGTGGTGAAACTGGCATAAGTGAGCTAGTTTAATGAAAAAAAGTAACCAGATTTTGGACAATTTAATAAAAAATATGGGGTTTCGACACTTTGTTTGTGTTTCAAGGGGGGTTGTATAAAGGGGGTCAGGATTGCAGCATGGCAACATATATAAAAGAGGCTTACATTTCATTTGAGAAGTTTATGGGATATGTTTGGAATCTGTACATCATGGAATATCCTTTGAGTAAATGTATATTTGCATTTAAGTGTCGTAAAAATTTCATATCAAAGTATGTGTTTAAGCCAGTAGTGTTATCTCAAAATACAGGGCTAATGTGACATGACATGGAGTAATGCTATTCTTAGGGATAGGCCTTCACAAATTTTAAAGACCCTTCTTGTCGAACGATTATTTCACTTCACCGGTAGAAATGACTTAAATGGCTATCCAATTGAAATCATTTGTGAGGCTTTTTAGTTCATTTTACTGTACAAACACACTCTAAACATCAGTTATCGCATCGAGTTTCACCTTAAATTAGGAACTTTAGTAGTATTTATTTGCATCAATTTGCTGCATCACCTAAATTTCTTTCAAGGCACTAAGGCTTTGTTTGGGAAGTTGGCTATTTTAGCCTGACTAAAATAGTTGTGTTTGGGAAGATGGTTTTTTTTTGTTGTTGATTTGATGGTTGTGAGAAAAAAAAAAGTGAAATGATTACGGGTTGGATATGATATTTTGTCTTATTGGCTATTTTAGCCTATTTTGTCTTTATTGGGTATTTTAACCAAAAAAGCTAAAAAAGCAACTTGCCAAACAGGGCTTAAGTCTTCCGCTCGCTTCTCACCTAAGCCTTTGCTTAGGTTCCTTTACAAAACACTGACTAACAACATATTTGTTATGGTTCCTTTAAATCTTTCACCCTTTCATTCATGTTCTATAGTAGTGCGATCATCTTTTATTTCTCACTTAAGAGCTGCACTTGAATTGATCTTTTCATTTATTTATTTATTTATTTCGGATATACATCTGAAACTATATAAATTTGCACATTTTATTAATCAGAGAACTTCTTCACACTAAGAAGAGACAAGCGGAAACAATTGGCTCTCTGGAAGCTGTACTAGGGGATGCCATCATAAGTTGTGAGATTGAACGAGCCGGTCCAGAAGTTACTGCATGCTCACACGGGTCCTCTTTTCTTCCCTCAGTAATTACACAAGACATGTTTTGTTTAGAGCTGCCGAGCAAACACCGAAATGGTTTTCTTGCCTCCAACTCAGTATCTATTACAGTTGATAATTCTTTCAGCCCGTCTCACACCCTCGTTCAAATCCTCTGCCAAGATCACAAAGGTCTCATTTACGACATCATGAGAACCCTAAAGGATTACAACATCCAGGTATATGATTCAAATTGTCATTAACTTTTCCTAAACGTTATCAATCCAAACAATTTTATTTATTTATTTTCTCAGAGAATGTTCTTGGTGGATAACCACAAAACCTTATGCAAGGTATTTTGGTGATGAAGGAAATCCCATGAAATATTTGGAATTGGATAATGCTGTCTCAGTACTTTGACACTGTCACCTCATGAACCTTAAAGTTGCTAGATAGCTAAGAAGCATAGACACCTCTAAGAAGATGGTGTGTCCATGTCGGGTATCGACACTGAGACATTTCTCGACACGAATTGTACATACATCCAAACGTGTCTTATTATTTTTGAAGTTTTTTTATGACCCAGACAAGGCCAATAGGATACAAAAACACATTACAAGTTTGAATAAAATTGCTCAAGATCCAATAATAAAAGAAGAATTATATAGATTTATACCTATTAATAGTGCTCTTTTTGTCCTTGCTTTCTTCTTGATTTGTATATGTCCTGGAAGTCAGTCCTATTTGATTTCATTGTCTTTAGATATAGAGCCTAAACCCGATTGTTTTATATTTTTTATTATCTTTGAATGAAATAAATATATGACATAAAATAAATATATAAGACTTTATATAATGTGTCCTCCACGTGTTGTGTGATGCTTATTTTGAAAACTATCCCGACGGCATGTCCCCGCCGTATTTGTGTCGCTTGTTTCTTAGCTAGATAGTTTGTCCATGGCAACATCAAAGGCCAACATATGATGCTTAAATAAAATCCATAAAACATCAAAGGTTACCAATGGGGCTAACTGAAAAGTCTGCTTTCTTTCAGATATCTTACGGGCGATTCTTCGCAAGTGCAAAGCGGAACTGTGAGGTGGACTTGTTCATTATGCAAGCAGACAGGAAGAAGATAGTAGACCCTCATAAGCAAAACGCCTTGTGCTCTCGTCTGAGAATGGAGCTTATCCGTCCTCTAAGAGTTGATGTGTTGAGTCGTGGCCCTGACACCGAGCTACTAGTGGCAAATCCTGTCGAGTTATCTGGCAGGGGCCGGCCACTTGTTTTTTATGATATTACCCTTGCTCTCGAGATCCTAAACATACTCGTCTTCTCGGTAATACTACTAATTCACTCATTGCATCTCTTCCCGGGTGCATATTGTATAATTAAGATGAAAGAGGTTTTTTGTGCTCCTCAAATTTCTGTTGTCGGTTACAGGTGGAGATAGCGAGACACAGGATTCATGATCGGGAATGGGAGGTTTACAGGATCTTGCTCGACGATGGGGATGGTTTTCCTTTGCCGAGGAACGAGATCAAAGAGTGTGTTCAAAAGAAGTTGATGGGTTGGGAATGAGTTATATATCTAACTAATATCAGCTAGGAGTGTAGTTGGCCACTACTGTGCACTATTGAGTTTTGATGTATGTGTATTTTTTTAATCTTTTGTTTTTTGGGGAGTCCCACGAATCTCAACTGCTGCTAAGTAGCCCTTAAGTGTAAATTATGTAACGTGGTTTAGGAAATGCTAAGTTTTAATTTTCTCCATGTCTCCATCTTACATTAGGACAAATTCTATTTTCTGTAAATCTTTTTCAAAACCTTTTTGGTTCAATGTGTATGTTAATTTAAATGTAAGTTTTATTTTTTATGTACTTGAGTTGATTTAAGCTGACCTCGAGTTTCTCAAATCTTGGACAAATTGAGTTTAAACTTAATTCATTAAATTCAAATTGAGTTCTGCGTAAACTCGAACTTAACTAGTAATTGACTTGAACTTAACTAGTAATTGACTTGAGTATCCTAAATCTTGGCTTGTTTATAATCCCCTATCAAATCTCCACCCCAATATTTATGCTCAAAGTAGGATCACAAAACCAAGTAAGATGGGAATGAGACCATGCAACAAGGTGGCCTCCTTCACTCGGAGGTCTCTTCCAACCAAATTGATGTCAAATGTAATCGAAAAACACCTTGATGTTTGTTTAGCATGAACAATAAGGCTTTGTTCGTTTGTTTGCTTGTTTGTTTTTGAGAAAAAATAAATATCAAAAAAAATATTTTAAAATTTTTGAAAAATATTTTTGACATTTCAAAAGATAAAATTATGTAATCATATTAAGTGTTTCTGATTTTTTTTTTTTTAAATTTCTTTCACCAAATTAATTTTTAATTTTTTTTAAAAAAATATTCTGAACCAAATTTCCAAAAACCAAATCAAATATAGCCTAAGAATTTTTTTTAAAAAATGTATTTGTTGTGTCAAAAAATTTAAATTTTTTTTCACAAATTTAAAATACTTAATGAAAAAATTTTAATGATAAAAACGAATTTAAAAATGAGATTTTTATTGATAAATCCATTTTAGAGTTGTTATAACCCATTAGACCCACAAAAGAATATTATAACCTAATTAGTCCCATAAACGTTTCTTTTTATTCCATAAGGTTCATTTTTCTAATTTAATATATTTACCTGGACTATTTTGCCCCCATATATATATATATGTACAGTGTTAATATGTATTTACATATTACGTGCATGTTTCCTTGCTGATTCAGTTTGGCAGTTTCTATTTTACGTTTTTCTTCATCAATCCAATTCCAAGAGATACGTTTATGTTTTGCATACTCGTTCCAAGGATTGGTTGTGCTAGGGCTTCATTCTTGGTGTTGTAGTCTGGTTCTGTGGTTTGCGAGTGAAGACGACGAAGAGGTAGGTGTTCGGCTGTCACATTTTCCGGACTATAAGTAGTTCGAATCAATTGTTTTCGACTTTTTGGAGGATTGCAGGATTGCATGATTAAGGTTAGTATCAATTTGATTATGAATACATGTTCAGTTTATGGTTTCATTCGTATGATGGATCAGATGCTCTGTTTTTGGATTGATATGAATTGGATGCTCTGGTTTTTCAATTATATGCTTTTTACGTGGTCCTGTGGAGGGGAGTTCATTCATATTATGTGAAGAACAGTGTTAGTTCTCATTTTACTTGGATGTATGCGTAATGAGGATCTCTGTAGATGATTTGATTATCAGTATATATGTCAATGTGAATGTTCACATTTTGTTAATGTGGATTATGTGAAAAATGTAGATGTTTTCATTTTAAATTAATGTTTGCTTAATGAGGCTCTGTGTGTGTGATATAATTCAGAGTGTATGTGTCAATGTAAATGTTCACATTTTGTTAATATTATGTGAAGATTGTTGATGTTCTCATTTTTACTTTGATGTTTGCAATTTTGGCATCTTGTTAATATCAATGTGAATGTTCACATCTTCGTATTGTGAATTATGGATTTAGCACTTGAACTGTACACATAATCATTTTTTTTTTTTTGCACAATGTGATTTTTCATGTCGATTTTGATTAAATGTGTAGTTCTCATTTTACTTTGATGTATGCATAATGAGGCTCTCTGTGGATGATTTGATTATCAGTATATATATCAATGTGAATGTTCACATTTTGTTAATGTGGAATATGTGAAGAATGTGGATGTTCTCATTTAAAATTGATGTTTGCTGAATGAGACTCTCTGTGTGTGTCATATAATTCAGAGTGTATATGTCAATGTAAATGTTCACATCTTGTTACTATTATGTGAAGATTGTTGATTTTCTCATTTTACTTTGATGTTTGCTTAATGTTGACATGTTGTTAATATCAATATGAATGTTCACATCTTCGTAAACCATTAATATCTGAATGTTCCACCTCCAAATATTCCGCCCAACCAAGGACTAACCCCAGGCCATACTGCCCCACAACCCCCTCCGCCTAACCCAGGAGATTCGCAGCTCTTTCCTCCCCAACAAGAAAACCTACCACCTCCACCTCCACGCCCGCCAGTCGCAGCATTGGCTCCTGAGGGGGAAGCTAGCAGTGTCCAGCCTCCATTGGCCGACCATGGCGACAACATTCCCTTCTAGGACGCTGAAATCCGAGCTATGAAACTCCAACTACAAGGGGTCATGCAGAACATTCAGCACAAGCCCTCAGCCACCACCAACTCGCCTTTTGTTGCCTCCATCCGCGACAAACCATTGCCTGCCAAGTTCAAGATGCCTACCGTTGACTCCTTCGATGGCACGACGGACCCGGTCGACCATCTGGAAACCTACCGCACCCTCATGATCCTCCATGCCTTCCCTGACGAGATCATGTGCCGAGCTTTTCCAGTGACACTGAAAGGATCAGCTCGGCTGTGGTTTAGCCAACTACCGGCGGACTCCGTCTCCACCTTTCAATGCCTCAGTGACTCCTTCCTGAGCCACTTTATCGGAGCCCAGCGTTAGAGACGCCCAGCCACCCAGCTCCTTAACATTCGTCAGACCGAGGGGGAGTCGCTCCGCAGCTTTGTCACCCGGTTCAACACCGAAGCCCTTCAAGTGGCGGAGAATGATGACAAGGTCATCCTCACCGCTTTCATGGCCGGCCTACGGTCGTCTGATTTCCTTTTCTCCCTCTCCAAAAACCCTCCAACCACCATGGCAGCTCTACTATCCAAAGCCCAGAAATACATGAATGCTGAAGATTCCCTGGCCGCTAGGCAGGAGCCGACCCCTAAAAACCCGACCCCCAGAGAAAAGAGGAAAGACCCCGAGCCCAGAACCGCCCAGTATACTAGCCAAACACACCACTATAATGACCGACCCCCCCGAACCGACCGGTCGACTTCGACCCGGCCGCCCGGTCGGTTTGAGCGGTACACACCTCTCAACTCCCCCATGGAGCACGTCCTCAATCAGATCCAACGGGATTACCCCCTCAAGTGGCCCCTACCGTCACGAAACCCCTCCACCCGAAAAGATCAGTCCAAATACTGTCGTTTCCACCAAGACCATGGCCATACCACCGACGAGTGCATTAACCTCAAAGACCAGATCGAGACCTTCATCCGCCAGGGCCGCCTCAGCCGATTCACAGACCCCCGCCCCCCACAGAGACAAAGAACTGACCATCCCAGGAACAATCGCCGACGCACACCACCCCGCAATCAAGCCCCACCAAACGAAGGCCACGATCGCCCGCCACCGCAGCCCCGACCACCGGGCAATCCCCCTCCACCAGTCGGAGAAATCAGAGTCATTTCAGGGGGACTTGCTTGCGGGGGGCCATCCCGCTCGGCTCAGAAGGCAGAACTCAGAAAAATCAGGCAAGGCTCTGACAAAGCAGTGGCGACGGTGGACCGACCTCCCAAACAGTCAAAACAATGGATCGAACCCATCACCTTCACCGATACCGACTGTGCCGGAGTCCGTTACCCACATGATGACCCCCTTGTCATTTCCGCCATCCTCTCCAACTACAAGGTCAGACGAGTACTCATAGACAACGGCAGCTCTTCAGACATCATCTTCCTCAATTGCTTCCGCCAACTCAAGATCGGGGAGGAGAGCTTGTCCCCTCTCCAAACCCCTCTGGTCGGCTTCACCTGCGACCGAGTGACCTCCATCGGCTCCATCGATCTGCCTATCACCATCGGCGAGCACCCGCGGCAGACCACTAAGCTGCTCACCTTCCTTGTGGTCGACTGTCCCTCCGCTTACAACATTATCCTTGGCCGCGCAGCCCTAAATACCTTCCAAGCCATCACTTCCACATATCATCTGGCCATGAAATTTCCCACCGATCTCGGTGTCGGAACTGTCAAAGGCGAACAAACCGTAGCCAGGGAGTGTTATGTCGCCTCACTCAAGGAAGTCAAGCTAAAAGAGGCCATGATCATCGAAGGGCTTGACGTCCGAGACGAGGACGAGCTGGTCAGAGGTAAACCTGTAGAGGAACTTGTTGAAGTCAACATCGACCCCACCAACCCAATCAGAACCGCCAAGATCGGCAGCCAATTACCCGCTCAAGCCAAGGCCGACCTTACTGCCCTCTTAACCGAGCACAGAGATGTATTCGCCTGGACTCATTCTGACATGCCAGGCATCGACCCCTCCTTCATAACCCATCGCCTCAGCATCGAACCCCA